AGGATTGCACACTGTAAGCAGCTGTAAAATGTTTGGTTTATTTTTTGCATTCTTTACATTTCTTCCCCAGTTTGAGGATAATTAATGGAACAATTTTCACTAGTTTTGATACAGCTGGTTAATTATTCATGAAAGTTCTTTTTTTAATTGTTAATCTCATGCCCAGAAACATGACAATTCAGAATTACACCATTCATATTTTCTCATCACATGAGCTGCTGAAACACTTTGTTAACATCTTAAAAAAAGCCCAATGAAAACTTTACCAGGAATGCGGAAGACACTGCATGACCTCTTTCATGGTCTCTGGAGATGTAGCTGTCCACCAGCGTGGCAGAATCTGAGGTGTAGGAGAATCATTATATTAAAACAGAGCTGGATAATTTCAAATAATAAAGACAAATTCTAAATACTACATATTTCCACATTTGTTAGGTAGTTGCATGTGAACACTTATCCTATGAAATCTGGAAGCTGAAGTCTTTCATTTCCTTTTCCTCCTCTGTAGATGACAATAATGAGTTTCTCATTATTTCTCATATATATATGGGTTTCCCACAGAAAGCATTGACTTGCTCCACTTCATTTTTGTACTGGTTAAGCAACTTTTTGAAAATAGTTGAAAATAGTTTTTTTTAAAGTTCACATAGCTCAATCAATATTGGAATGTAAAAAATGTACTTGAAATAGATCTTTGCAATACCCAGAAACCACTCCCATGCAATTCTTCTCTCACATGCTTCAAAAGGAATGAAAAAATATTGTTCTGGTATCATACCATACAAGTATGGTAGCATAGAATCAGTGGGACTTACCCTAAATATGAATGGGTGGAATTAAGAACATGTAGGCTTTACAGAGTCATCTGCTAAAACTCTAGTACTATCTTTAGATTATCCTGGCTGCAGCTCTACACAGGTGATACTAACTACTAAGTTAATATTTGGGTGGGATTTTAAAACAAAAGTTACACACTGTTAGAACACACACACCCCTCAGGTATATCAGTAATAGTTTATTATTGTTACAAACTTAAATATATGTCCAAGAAAGTCCAAATTAACTCAGTTAGTGGGTTCTAATAGCATGATAACCAACATTCAAAGACTGAGTGGGAGATGTTATCCAACAGTAAGCTGTTGTTGAAAAGGATGTCACAGTATTACCTGCTAAGATAATAAACCATGGTGATGAACCCAGAGTTCATAACCCAACAACAAACTATTGATGGGTTGCTCATGCTTAACAGGTCATGGCGTATTAGGACAGCTGGGTTCAGAGAACGCAATAACCCATGTTACAATAATAACTCATAATTCAGTGACATTTAGCACACACCTAATTTAGCTAGGCTGCCTGAACCTAGCCAGTGAGATTGGGCAGGACCTGGGAATGAAGCCGGCAGGTTAGAAGGGGAACCCCCAATAGGTCCTATATGGCAGGCAGATCATGGATTCACCTTGCCTAGCATAGTGTAACTATGTGTGAAATGGGGATCAAGAAACAGCACTTCAGTTAAACAAATAGTAAAAGAGGAAATGACTCTGGTGTTGAGTAATAACAGAAATATTTAATGTAGCTCTATGTATTTAGAATGAAGACTCTTTCTTCAGGAGATAAACATACAAAATAGAGGACAACACTATATTACAAACTTGCATTACAGAATGAAGTATTACAAACTTCCTATTTCAAACAAAATGAAATATACAGATTACAACTGTATTCATAAAATGAACTTACTCTTTGTTGTAGACTTGCTTTGGAAAACACACTGCAGCAGTTCACACAATTGGTGTAGCAGTTGAGATGGTATATGCTGCTACTACTACATCAGTTCTGCAAGTGGAGTGACATTGTCGGAGACTGCCCATAATTTGTTATGGCATAATGAAACCCTGGAACCCCATTACTGTATGTTTGATATAAGAGGGGAGACCCAAAAACCCCAGGAATTACCTTCCGGAGGGTGGGGCCCTTTCTGGGAACCCCTCTGCATCAGTGTACTCAGCTGGGTTGTTGTGAGAGGCTGCATTTGGCTTCAGTGGGTTTTTTTTAACCTCTTTCAATGTGTTTGCCTATTTTGTGATGGCTGATTTACATGAACAATGTGTGGAAGTGAAATTTTGTTCAGCTGAGTGTTCAGCAGTTTTTGACCAAAAATAGCATGATCCTTGTGCCCCACCCTCCCTATTCACCTGATCTTGCCCCATGCAACTTTATTTTTGTTTCCCCGGATGAAAAAAGTTCTCAAAGGGAAACGTTTTGCTGATGTGGAAAAGAGGAAACAATCAATAGCAGACGCAGTAAAAGGCATCAAAACTGACAAGTTCAAAACCTGTTTTGAGCTGTGGAAAAAATGTCTCGATAGGTGTATTGCATCAGAGTACCTTGAACGTGACTGAAGTTTGCACAGGTAAAAATAAATGCCTAAATTTTAATAAATAAATTCCTGCTTTTCTGGGTTTCCCCTCATATGTTTCATAAAGTGAACAATCCCATCCTGCAGGGTTACTGAAAAGGTGTTCATTTGTTGAACGACTTTTACCAATGAGGATCAAATCTACAAAAAACCAAGAACTCTTAATGTATTTCTGTACAGTCGTATGTTTCTGATTCCATGCATTTTATTCTTATTATATGGGGAAAAGAAGTAATTTGATTTCTAGCAAATCCCTTTCTTTCATTTCCACCTATCTCAAAATATTTCACTGATTCTTAAATGTTGCATTATGAAATATTACTCTGAGGTGAGTTTTAGAGCAGTAACTGCCTAAGTTTGTTGCAGTAAAAACAACAAATAGTCTTATGTCATTCTGAAGCTGACTTCTCTATAGCCTGATTGGCCTGGTCCTGCCCAATCTAGGAAGCTAAGTAGCACTGAGCTGGGTTGAAATCTGGATGGGTGACTGGAGTCCTGAGTTGAGCAGATGGATCAGCTAAATGGCCTGCAAAATCCCCTTCCAACTGTATGATTTTATTCTATTTGCTTAGAATATTATTTGTTCTCTTCTTTAAATGCAAAAAGTGTCAACTTCAGAATCACTGATCTCTGTACTGATGTACTCTGGAGTACGGTAGGGATATAAACAATTTAGTCAGAGGAAATCGAAGTGCAAAAAACTATGGCATGGTGAGCTGGAGAATGATAGGAATTGTAGGAATTTGTTCTTTTCTGTCTAAACAGGCATAAGATTGTCTCCAAAGATAAATACCCCAAGGAAGGTAACATAAAAACACACTTAGAAAATGTTTTCTCTTGTGCTCTCTCAAACTTCCTATATGAAATGATAGATATCTGTTAGCTATACATACTGCTAGCTGGGAGGTTTTCAGTACATTCTGCTATGATCTTAAACAATAACAGCACGATCCTATAGAAGTCTATGCAGAGATAACTGCTCCCACTGGGACTTACAGCTGGGTAATTGCAGACTTGAGTACAGTCCTAATGCCTTGCTAAGCCACTATTCTTGTCAGAGAGATATAAGGCAGTTCTAAGCAGAGGGTGTGGGTATTTTTCAGTCCATTATACTGTACATAGCAGGACCTTTCCAATTTGTATTGTTCAGAGGAAAGAAATGGATACTCACAATTTCAAAAAACAGTTTGTTGCCAGTCAAAGCTATGGTGAAGTGACAGATAAACAGCTTGTCCTTCTCTCTAACTGTAAATGCAGTTTCCTTGTATTTTTGTGTGGCGTATTATATGCACATTCTTCTTCCACAGAGGAAGTTGCTTTCCCAAGAGATGAGATCAAAAACAAGCTGTGTTGAACTCAGTGTATCAATCCACTCTGGAATGCCAGCAGTACATTTGTGTATTTTAAAAAAACACTATTCCGCTATATTTGGTGAACAGCAACAGCAGTGAGGAGCTTGGGTTCAGGGTAGACTTAATTCCTAGCTTCTCAGTAAAGCTTAACGCAGCCACAAATGAAATGTGTTTCCTCTGTCTTTGCCGCCGGAGGCTATCAAGGAAGTAATCATAACTACTCCTTCTGCTCATGCGCACTGTTGAGCGGCTCTCACTGGAAAAAAACCTTAGCTTTGCAGTAGGACAATTAAGCTGGAAACATTACAGGGAGCTTTTTGGCCTGCTGTCAGTGCTGGATATATTTTTGACAGGTTCTGCCATACTGTGCTTTGATATCAGCACAGTGTTAGCATTCAGCTGCACATGTGGGAATGATCAGAGAACAGTGAGGCCTTTCATTAGAGACTTGGCTTGGATGATTTAAAGGGTACTCCCTGGCTACTGGAGAAAGGCTGCAGAATCCTCCTGCTAACTTTTTACTGAAACAGTCAGTTGCTTGTTTACTGAATATTCCTCCAGATGCCAGACTTCTTTCTATAGCAGTAAGGCATCTGGGTGAAAAAGCAAAATTAACAGCATTTCTTGAGGGTTTAGTTAAAAGAGAACACATTATAGGTCCATGACGGTATTTTTTTAAAAATGAACTGTTTGTGATAATTGCAACCCATGGATATAGTTGGTTTTCTTCCAACGTTGTTGCTTAAATCATTTTGTAGGATTATGCCTGCACCGGAGCTACCTATGTTTGCACCAAGAAGTTTTTCTCATAATTTTCTTTGCAAACTTACTTTAAACCTAGTAGTGCCAAGTCAAGCATAGTCTAATATCATGGTTTAATCAGATCACAGAAAGAAACTGAAGGAGAATATAATGGGATTCTCCTGTAATGGGAGGATATAACTGGGATTCCAATGGCCTGCCTTTGGTTGGATCAGAATGAAGAAAGCAGAAAACATTATCCATAGCTCCAGGTGATAAACTAGTCTGATTAGACACCGGAAGGGAGATCAGTATTTCTAAATTGAAAGGTTGTGATTAAGAATGCTGCAGGCATTAAAGTAGTGCTCAGATTGCAGGCACGTGCTTTGATCATAGCAGAGTCTTACATTCTTTAGTTTTTGTAGATATTTGAGGGGTTTAAAAGAATTACACTTTCCACTGGATCTTTGCCTGCATGTTTTTCAACAGAAAAGACAGTTAACATCATATGAGATAGTACCGTAAATTATTTAACCTGAGATTTCCGCTGAAGGCACAAGATTTTTGTATTATAAAATACAAATGATACTGCTTGTGCAGCCAGTTTGGCTCTGAGCCATGTCACACTAAGACTAAAGATAAAAGAGTTTATTGATAGATGTATCTATATGATATTACAAATTTAGTCATTTTAAATCTTTGTGCTGCAAAATGTTGGAACTACATGGGTTTTCCAGGATGAAAAGCCTAGCAAAATAAGCCCCCACCTTCTGCCCCGACTGGCAAAATCTGGCAAGGCTGGGGATGAACGTATAGCTCCACTCTTCCCTGGTGGTCATGCCTGACCTAGAGCCAGGCTAGAAAGCCTTCTGCGGAGAAGATTTCAGGGCTGAAGATCTTGATGGCAGCATTCCTGAAGGTGCCCTACACACTGTGCCTTTTAGCAGCACCTCCCTGGCAACAGGGGTCCTTCGGGAAAGTGTGGAGAAGCCTCCAGATGAAGTCTCCAGCCCAGAGTCATGAGGAGGCTGAGTGATCCCCAAGTCCTAGAGCAAACATGTCCCAAAAGGCCAGGACCTGTTGGCAAAGTGCATTCTTGAGCACCAAAAGAAACTGTTGGGGATTTTAATCCCCAATCAGCCAGCTTCGTTTGTATAACCATGAGAGACAAAAAAACCTACCAGCAAGGTCTACTGGAAAAGTTCATTACTGAAGCTTCCACACACCAATACAAAACAACTCACTCTTCCAAAACATATCAGCACTCACTAACCATTCAAATGCTTTTAATACCCACTATTGGTCATCTTGATCTCTCCCCACCTACCTGTTGATCTTTCTTTCGGCCCATTGTTAAATTTTAAAGGTAGTAATTTACCACAATGCTTGTTTATCTTACCAGTGGATGGACAGACAGACAGACACCAGCCAACTATCTTCCCTGTATGTGTTCTGTAGCACAATTACAAACAATAGTGCAATTTCAACTGAACAGTTTCTATTGCACTAGCATTTCCTTCGTACACAAAAGAAGTGAATTTCTGTCTATCACTGGTGCACAAGCCTTAGGATTTGAGGGGTCTCTCAGCTCTTCTGCATAGTGGAACCATTTAAAGCCACTCTTTGGGTTGAGACCTCAGGAAGTTTACAAAGAATTCAAGCACAAAGAATTAGAAATTTTATGTCAAAATCATACTCCTCATGAGTGCTCCTCACTCCTTAGAAACCTGGGGAACTGGGTGAACTGCTTACAGCTCTGACAACTAGATAATATAAGCCTTCAGTTCCAGTCTATCCATTGTTGGAGTAATATTGGCCTTAGGTTTTGTGAACCCTGGTTTCACTTGCCGTGACCTGCCCCCCAGCTTTGCTTTGATGCTGAGGTCTTGCTTGTCCTGTGATGTTCTCCTTCATATTTGAAACTGCTGATCAGCAAAGCCATGGACCAAGCTCAAGCAGGACAGTAGCCACATTTAGGTTTGCACTGCCTTTTAATAATTAGACATGCATTTAGGTTTCATTTTCTTTGTCATGATGGTTGCTCTTAATATCTAATCCAAAATGCCAATGGATTAACCTCTTCTGTTTTGGAATTTTGGAACTCTGATGTTTTATTTTTTTTCCTAGTTGTTTTGACCTTGTTTAACTTGAAGCCACCTCCGTGTAACAAACTCAATAGCTTCTGTTGTACTACCTCACCTCATTCCTCTTGAACATTTGGGAGTTTTAAGGGAACAGTGTTACATACCTTTTGCTTTACTTACCTTGTTACTATTCATATTTATTTCTTTGACTAATGCTGTTTCAATATACATTGGCAATCCATTTATCATGTTCATCCCCAGTTATTCTTCTGGGGACTACCTTCTTTTTAGTTGATATTATCAGCTTGTGAATCCTTTCTTGTACTATTTTAACTCCATTTTCTGATAAGCTATTTGGTGATGGAGGGAGGTGAGTAGAGAATTCAGGGCTGTATGTGCCATACTTGAAATCATTCCCTCCCTCCCTCCCTCCCTCCCTCCCTAATAAGGCAAAATGATGTAACTGTGGTAAAAAAGTTTGATTTCAGCCCTATGTGGTGCAATTTGGTCCAAAATCAACCTCCATATCCCTGACAATTGACCTTGCTGTTTGCCGGGTGATGAGAGCAGTGGTCTAAAACATCTGGACAGTATCACATTGAGGAAGGTTGGAATTGTTGAAGAAACTTTGACTTCTGCTGAAATCCTCACTGCCTCATCAAAACCTGTTGGGGGATCTACCTTTCAGCACTGGGTGTAGTTAGAAACAACAGTGGACAGAGGTCCAAAAGTGACTCTTGCCTTTGTCCCATACACAGTAGGACAATTGCAACCATTCACCTCCTTCAGCTTGTGACCTAAAGACAGTCTCTTTCCTCAACCTGTGCAAGGTAATCTTGATGAACTTTGTAACTGGTGGGACAGAGCAGGATGCCATAAATATTGGTAGCTTGGAGCTGGGCCAGAGGGGTCTGTGGCTTAGACCAGCCTTCTCCCAACCTGGTGGCCTTCAGAGGCATTTGGACCACAATTCCCAGAATTCCCATCCAGCAGGGCAATTGACTGGAAATTCGGGGTGTTGCAGTCCAAACTTGTTTGGAAGGCACAAGGTTAAGGAAAGTAGGCTTAGATTGAGAGACCTGAAGGTTTTCATTTGGCCTACCCCTGACTGAAACATATATTATTATCACAAATAGCACATTATAGTAACCATCCCAGGAAAGCACAATTACCTTTTTGCTTCACTTGCATGGGTGGGATCACAAAGCAGTGACTTCTAAACAAATGCCAAAACCACCCAGGGATATGTCAGAAACAAGCCTCAACTATAACTAGTTGTATAACTCTTGTATAATCATAAGTTTTTAAAAAAGAGATGAACAATGCAAGTTCCCTCCCTTCATATAAGTAGTTGATGCAGAGAACACAGGATGTGTGCAATTATCAGAGCTGCCTAGAGCAGTAAGTAGCCATCCTAAATTTTGAACGTGTCAGGAGACTGTAAAACACTGTTGAAAGGCCAAATAGAGAGCAATTAACCAATACCTTTCCTAGGGCACTGTGACATACATGACAGTTACTGCCTTCATGGCCCACTACTCTGCTAACTGAAAGTTAATGCAGTTAAGATCTGTGAAGGCTTGAACTTGGATGAGACCAAATTATGGCACCAGAAAGTAGACTCTTACTGGAGAGACAGAGAGGCGTGTATCTTACTGCACATCCTGCGTGTCTTAATGGTTTGTGGTTCATTGACCATGATATCCCTCTGCAGTGCTAGCTGCACGTTTTGAGGGCCCTTGGGCAAGCAACTCTCAGTGGGACTCACTGCCTCTGTGCATCTTCCTTCTCACTACCATTATCACCAGCTGCTTTCTCATCATTGCTAGTACTTGCTTCCTTGACCGGCAGAGAGCCAAATAAGCATGCAGGCAGTGGCATCCACTGTTCCTTCTTCTCTCCACCACTGCTGATTGGGTCAGAGGAAGAGTTAGCTAAATAAGCATGTTGCCATGGTAAGGAAGAGGAGCAACTCCGAGAGACTGATGTCAGTGGACCCCCACTGTAGTATGGGTTCTTGTCCGGTGCCCAACCATGCCTACCTTTGAAACTGGTTGTGTTCTTCTGGATTGGCTCTCTGGGTTGCATATCAAAAGTGCCACTTGTTGATAGTCCTACTCAGAGAACCACCTCTAGAAGGTGTTTCTGGGGAGCCATGGCTTTTA